GGACGGAGAGAAGCGCGAACAGCTGGCAACACTGACCGGCGATTGATCTTCGCGCGGTTGGCACAGCGAGCTCAGTCGCTGACGAACCGTCGAGCGGAGTGAGTTGTAGTATACGACTTGTACGAGTTATAATATCTGACGAGCGAGCGAGCTACGGACGGAAACAGCCGAGCGCGACCGCCCATCTCTCTCGGTCCCTTTCACTGTAGGCCGACGAGATTCTCTTTCTCTCTCTCTTTCGCGCGTCCGAGTGTACACAGCCAGCCGCGATCGCGTCCCGTCCTCTCGTCTCTCTCTCTCTCTCTCTCTCTCTCTCGGCCTGCACCACTGCAAAACCGAGCGCTTTCGGCAACGTCTCTCTCGCCTCGCTGTCGAGGGAGCTGGGATCACCGCCGATCCTAAACGGACCTCTGTCTCTCTCTCTCTCTCTCTTTCTTTCTCTCTCTTTCTCTCTCTCGTACGAAGCGCGAAAGATCGAGGGAATACGTGTCACGGAGAGCAACGCGAGGCAAATCAAGCAGTCAGCCAGCCAGCCAGCCAAGCCTGCATCGCCGTCGCATCGTGACGTAGGAAGGAGTATGTGAAAATGGATTTTAAGAGCGTGGTGTACAACGCGGCAAGGGATGGCAAGCTCAAACGTCTCAAGGTGAGCGGTGCTTCGTGTCGCTTTCGATACACGCTCGTCTCGCCACGTCTCGTCGTTGGCAACATCGGCCGCACGCCGCCGACATCTCGCTCGTGCATGCAGCGGTTTGTCGGCCCGTCTCGTCGCGCCGCGCCGCGCCGCACCGCGCAATCGCCCTGTGCGAACGAAACCGGTACGCGATCTCGCGAGCAGCCGTAAAATTCGACGCTGGACGAACTCTCTCGCATGCTTGTTTCTTCTTGCGCCCAGCTCGGCTTCTGCCCTCTCTGTCTTTGTCTCTCTCTTTCTCTCTCTCTCCCCCCCCCTCTGCCCCCTTTCCTCTCTCGCAACCCCGGACACGGAACGGTCGCGTCGTGTGTATGCGTGCGTGTGCGTGTGTGTGTGTGTGTGTGTGTGTGTGTGTGTGGGGCCGTCGAATTCCTGTTGTGCCGGCTTTCGTCGATCGATTCGCCGTACGGCATTAATGAGCCCTGGCGGGATCGTCCGGAGGACTCGCGCGGAAAGTTTCGCACTCGTCCGACATCCGAGCGCGATATCGACTCGAAGCGCGACGCGACCACTACTTTGTAGCTACGTAGTAGCCGCTGCGCGTCGTTGTTGCGAGGGCTCCCCGGACGTCGCTTTGTTCGTCCATGGAGGTCGTGCGAAGTGTTGACGTTTTCGTGACGCGCTACGTCGCGCACTCGCGCACGGCCCTCGAAGTTTCACGCAGAGAGACGCGGATGATTCACGCGCTGGATTCTGTGTGTATATCGGGAGCCAGGGGTGGGTTTGTTTCGTACTAAGCTCCTCGTCTCGCTTGGCCGCGCCTGGAGTGGCTCACCTCGTTCAAAAATTAATTCGACCCCGTCCGCCCCCCCCTCTCTCTCTCTCTCTCTCTGTCTCTGTCTCTCTCTTTGTCTCTGTCTCTGTCTCTCTCTCTCTGTCTGTCTCCTTCTCGTCAGCTCTTTTTGACTTCAACCTTCTGCCTCGAGCCGGGAAAAGATCAAGGAACAGGAAGCAGAGAACACATTGTAGAATGCCTGCTTCGTCGTATTGTATCTTCCAATCGGTCGCCGCGTAGCGCATTCGATGCGTCATCGGCGTTTTCACTTTACCGTCATGCGCTCGACGACGGAGTTTTCTTCAGTCCGATGTACACTTAACATGGGAAACATTGACAAACGCGTGACATTGGCAGTTCGAATTCCAAGACTCAACGAATAAAGCAGGGAGGAACACACAACGGGGAGGTGCAAATCGATTGTTTACACTGTAACAATCCGAGGACAAGGTCAGTGACACCAGGAGTAAGCCTGCCTACCGTCAGGCAGCTGACGGCGAAAAGTAACTCGAGCAGGCTAGAGCGATTCAGTAGGGGATGCGCCTTTACAACTCTTTTCTTCCCGCCGTGCTTCCGAACGTCGGAAAAGAAATTTCCGACAATAAAGACGCGATAAGCGGATTACGAAAAGTTCGCCTGATGATGAAATATCAATGTAGAGGAAAGTCTCGATGAAGAATTTCTGAAACTTCCGAATGTGACGGAACTTTTTAACGTAGAATCCACGCTTCGAGCGGACATGACTTTGTTACCCGAGTCGCAGTTTGTTCTCGCGGTTGTGTCGCGGAGGATAGCGATGCGCAAATTTGCGTGCAAACACACAGACGGCCGCGATCGTTGTAAGGTAAATATCCCGGAGTAACCGGACGTTCAAACGTAGGTCGTCACAAAAATACAATATACAGTACTAAGAGTAGTTTTGATAGAAATATTTGCATTTACTCGAAAACTTAAGATCCCTTAAATAGAGAAAAATGATTTAAACCCCACACTGTAAGAAATGATGTGTTAAATTCAACATATTTCATATGTCTCCATTCTCATTTATGTGTTAAATTAACATACAGCAGATATGTTAAAAAGTAACACGCATAATAAGTAAAAAATTTAACATTCGAAATGCCGTCAAGAAGATCGCACAGTTTGTGTTAAATTGACATACAATGAATGTTATTACCTCAGCATTTGGGAAAAGTAATGATCTGATGATTTGATGAAATGAAAATGTCGGACTGACATAATCCATGCGTTAAAAATCCAACCTTTGTATAATGTAACACATGGACAACTGTTATGAGAATGAGGAAATTAACACATTTTAGCTGTTGACTTTAACGTGACATATAATATGTCAGAGCAAGAATTCATGCATTTACATATAAATTGTGTTTATTTTAACATTTGAAAATGTTATTTTAACACTTGAAAATGGTTAATCTTAATTTAACACAAGAAAGTCTAAGTGACACAACATGTGCTGTGTTAAATTAACACACGACTGTGTAGAAAATTTGACACGAAACTTTCTACACGCAAGAAATTTTTGACAAAAGTACGTTTTACAAAAGAAACGTTTTTAACTGCGCAATGTACATATCTATTATTAAGGAAATATTTACACAAGTAACGAAGTGCATTGATATGTAGCAGTGACCGGACAGTTGAAACAGTTGTTACGGCCCAGTGTTCGGGTATAATTTGTCCCAGTGCTTTAGAACCGCAATTAGAAAATTAGTAACGTGTGCTAACGGGAAATAATATTAATGTAGATGTTATCTCTCGATGAGTTTATTAACGACGGAGCGTTATTTTGCCAAACCACACACAGGTGCATACTTGATTAATTTTTATTTTAATACAAAAGTATCACAAGGGTTGGGTATATTTTTTTTCCAGCTAATCGTCAAATATCGGAGCTTTCCTTACAATAATTTTATTACTTTCGCACATTATTGTTAAAATAAAGAGTAAATATTTGTTTTTCAAAGTGGTCGGCTACTGGGACGTTTACCTTACTGCGCGTCTCGGCTCTACGTATCTTGTTGGCGCGCGAATTTAGGCTAAGTATTTGCAGCCCCCGGTGGTGTCACAGACGCGCGTGTGAAACAGCCTGAGAGACACAAACACAAACGCGCGGCTACAAAGGCGGCGGGTTGTCTCTCGCGCGAGATTCGTATTTCAAAATTTTGTTGCGCATTCGTTAACTCGTCGCTGAGGAAGAAAATGCTCGGAAATAACTCGCGAGTTTTCCGATATCCGCTCTCGACGAAACGAGAATCCGTCTAAATTTGACGTGCGATAAGAATCCCTCACGGGAACATCGGCCCTCCGTTCGTTAACTCGCCACCGGAATTCGCGCCGCAGTTTCCTCGGGCTACCTGAAACCGGGAGCGAGGTGTTTTTTTATGCATGCGCATTCTTGGCCTTTTACCGTGCAAACATCGCGACGTGAAATATCGTCGGGGGATTACGACCGGGCGAGCTGAAATTTCGTCGAGCGAGAGATCTCTTCCTCCTTACGAACGACTCGTGCACTTTTCTGAAAGGCCGCGTCGCGCGATACGCTCTCTCGCGCTTTTTCGACTTCGCCTTTGTTATGCAAACGTTATAGACGCCGCTGCTTCACGGCGCAGTAGCGTCGCGCTCGCGCGAAATTAACTCGTCGTTGAGACTTTCCGAGAGAGGCCGACGAATTCGTTCCGCCCGCGCGTTCCTCCGGACGCGCGCTCGCTCTCTTGATAAAATCCCCGAGACCTTGGACGATCGCGCGGGGCTTTCGCTTTCGTGCTTTCTTCATCGGCGATTTTTCCGATGTGATCGGCCGTACCTGGAGAATGCTTGCAGGGAGCGAGCGAGCGAGCGAGCGAGAGGGAGGGGAGGGAGATATTTCTTCTCTCAGCGAGCAAAGTGCTGCCGCGAATAATACCGTCGGCGAAAGTTTTTTCTCTCTCTCTCTCTCTCTCACTCTCTCTCGACCTTAGAACCGACTCTCCTACTGTCGGCGTTGCGCGCTCGCCTTGGCTTGACGGGCTGAAAAAATGGCGCTTTGACGACTGTATCCCCGGTTTGCGCGCGATTTCAAAAGCGTTTGGCACGACTTAACCTTGCGGCAATCTGCGACGAGCTTGTAATACGCGGCGCGGCCGCGACTCCGTTTATCGCGGAATGGGCAGATTTGCGCGTGTTTGTTGGCACAACAGAGGCTCTCGTCGGGGATCTGCGAATCCGGGTGAGCTTGTGGATCCGAAAGCGTCTCTCGCCTTTTCGAACGTCGTCGTTTGCGCCGCACCGCGGCGGGCATCGTCGCGGTGATTCGGGATCGCGAGTCGATTAGCGCGCCCCCCCCCTCCTTTTCTTTTGCTTTCCTCTCCGCTGCTTCCCCCGAAATAGCAATTTCCAGCATTGAGCCCGCTCTCGTCGGTGTAATTATGTAACTCCATTAGAGTCATAAATATTCAACGTCGTCAAATTACGTCGGTTCAATTATTACATGCAGTCCCAATTAGGTATTCGACATTAAATTACGCTTCTATTAATCCGCACTGTACGCTACTTCTCGCGTATCGCGCGCGCGTGCTTTCACGCACTAGGAAAAAAAATTTGGTACCTCTAACAAAACTGTTTGGTTTAGGCATTTTTTAATAGCAACCAAGTATCTTGTTTTATATAACGAAATATTTAGTTGTCTCAACTAAATATATATTTTTCTGCTTTGTTCTCTGGACCAAATGATTTTGTTCTTAGACTTCATACATAAAAATTAAGCATTTTAGTTATTTTATCCATAAAAATTACACAATAACGGAATATTATTTTACATAAAGTAAAATAATGCCCAATGGATACTATTTTGTCTTTCTGTGCACTAAAATTTAGATTTTATATATTAAGAAAAAATTATAGTATTTTTTAACAAAATTCATACAGTTGAGGCTTTTTGGTTGATATAACAAACGTTATATATACGAATACAAGCCGTAACCAAACAAGATATTTGTTTACAGGAACTAAACAGTTTTGTTGAGAATATTTTAACCAAATTATTTTGTTGTCACGAGAAAATTTTGCTTCACGCAGCAATACATTTTTCCTAGTGTACGCACGTGTGTACGCGCGTCGCGTGCATCATCGGGGATCGATGACAAATTATCGACTGAAAATTACGGAGAAGCCTGGG